TCGATTTTTTCTAATCGATGGTAATCGATTCTCAGTTGATAATCGATTGCCAACCTGGTTTAAAATTTCGTGATGTACTCGACCAAAATATCTTGGAATGGTATCCACTTTATTAAATTCTTCAAAGTTAAAATTTTTGATAGTTTCAATAAATTCTCTATATTCTTTTTTTGTAGATGACTCTCTTAAACTGGAGGTTTCTACTGTTATCTTCTTTGTTATTTTACCTTTCTCAAGTGTTTTTCTCTTTGTTGACGGAATTGGTTAATATCTTGTTGAATTTGATGTAAGAAAGTTTGAACTTCTGGTCCAGTTAATACAGTTTCTTCTTCTAATAATTTTACAAATACTTTTCTTGCTGTAGTTAATGTATATTCATGGATTATTTCTCTATGAAATGCTTTGAAGCTATTAAAAATAACTTTGAGATCTTTTTTAGAATATTGTTCTGTTGTTAATTAGTTCTTGAAATAATCTTTTAACTTCAGTATTGATTGATTTTGTGAGATTCAGATTGAAAAAGATTTGTTTGTTTATAATTTGTTTTTGTTCTTTCACAGAGAATTCTCAATCCAAGTTAATTTTCTTTGGTGCAATACTTTATTTACAGAGGGTTCTCTGTTCAAATATGATTTGACAGTGTGAAGTTATCTTTTTCACAGAGGGAACACCAAAATCTGTTACCGTTTTTATTGATATTAAGTTCTAGACGTATTAGTCACGTGTTTTATTAAAATAAAGGCAAAAAGATTAAGTTTTTATAATAGGAGAGACTAAGATTTATCACTAAAGGTAGGTAACATATGTTTTTGTTGTGACGAGCTAGAATGATGTCCAATAACTTCACTAAGTTTTGTATATTATTTAGAATTTCAAAGGTGATGATACAAATAATAAGTTTTATCAAGTGACTGTCTTTCAAGTTAATAATAATGGTTTATTATAAGCAATCTATCTTTCAAGACCAAAAACCAATACAAATATATAACTTTACAAGTTATTCAAAAGTTTCTATCAAACAAGAAACTAATTAACTATCCGACTTGATTCACTTTCTGACTTGATTGATTCTTATTCTAAGCTAAGATACATGGTATATTTATATAAATTACATGTTATATGATATAACTGATTCTATTATTGTTGTTATTAAGTTAATTAAACACAGGTGTTATCAACGTTTCTGGTGTTAACACAAGTGTTGATGTCATTGCTGTTGTTGCTATCATTACTGGTGTTAACACAAACTTAAGAACCAATAATATCTAATATATAATTGTCCAATAAAATAATAACTATCTAAAAATAACTATTCAATAGAAATACTAATAAATATAATCCAAGAATAATTTATATAAATCTTATCCAATAAGATGGTTCATTAAATGTCATATTATGACAATACACACAATTTGATTATCTTTGTGCGAGCAAAAGAAAATCTGAATGCACTTCACCAACTTTGAATTTCCTCTTTCTTGATAATGAAGATGATAGTAAATATGATGAAGATAATAAAGTTGATGAAGGTGAAGATGGTGACGAAGATGATAAAGATGGTGAAGATGATGACGAAGATAGTGAAAATGATGACGATGGTGAAAATGGTGAAGATGATAAAGATAATGAAAATAGTAGAAATAATAAAGATAACGAAGATAGTGATGGTAAAGATGATAAAGGTGATAAAGATGGTGAAGAAGATAATAGAGGTGAGGATGGCATGGTAGTATCATTAGGAGGAGATGAAGTAGAATGATGATGATTATTGTTGTTGTTGTTGTTGTTGTTGTTGTTGTTGTTGTTGTTGTTGTTGTTGTTGTTGTTGTTGTTGTTGTTGT